AGAGAGAAGAGGACACAGAGGGACACTGTGAGACCTCCTTTTCAAACCCTCCATGGCTTCCCCCACTCTCATGCTCACAGTGACCCCTTTGGCCCCTCCCCTCCTTCCCTCACTTGCTCTCCTCCAACAGATTGCCACCCCACCCGCCCCACCCCCACATATCCAATCTCTTCGGGGCTCTTTCCCTGGTGCCACAAACCTGCCCACACCTCCCCCTCCTCCTTTGGGGGGCTGCTGGAATCCATGCCCCCACTTCCACCCACAGCTTTCTCCAAAGTCACCCCGATCCAGTGGCCTTCTCTGATGGCCCATCCTTCTAGACCTCTCTGGGCAGCCTCAGTGACCAAAGAATATGTATCCATCGCTGAATGGGCGCTGCCTCAGTCAAACTGAGACCTGAGAAAGACCTCAGCTTGAAAAGGTCAAGGTCTCCCCCTGTATCCTGGACCACCTCCAGTGGCCCTGATCCCCTGATCCTTGTCGGGTCACTAGGCCCAGGCGGCTCGGGAGGAGAGCATGAGGCTGGTGACTTTGCACAACTCTACCTCACTTAAATGCAATTCATTTGCAAATCACCTCATGTGATTTGTGTTCCAGATGTCATGGTCCAAGCACAACCACACAATATGTTCAGTGCATAGCCTGGAGTTGGCCTCCAACAATGACCAGCCATGTGACCCTGGACAAGTCACTTCACCTCAGTTTCAACTATGAAACGGGAGTCCTAATAGCCCCTCCCTTCCAAAGGCAATCCTATTCGTGCAGCGCTCAGTGTGGTGGCAGCACAACATAAATGCTCCAGGTCTTCTGCCTTCCCTCCTCATCTAACCAAAGGCTCTCTCACAAGGTAAGCTCATCAGTTCCCCCCTGGCACAATTAGCAGCCCTCGGCAGATGCCTCCCAGGTCTCTCTGCCGATGTCCAGCTCCCCCATTGCCGCCCAGTGCCTTGGGCTCTTGGCTCCTCACTCCCACTCACCTCACTGCCAGATTGGGTGTGGCTCTGGCCAGGACCCTTCCTCCAGTCCACCCAGCCCTTGGCTACCAAGGTGACCCAACCTCACACAGAGGCTCCTAGTTCTCTCAAGCACCAAACCCAACCCTCTGCCCCTTCTTTCCCCTTCCTTTCCATGGCCGGAACACCCTGTGACCCCCAATCTCCATCCCCCCCTCAGTCCGTGAGTTCCTCGAGGGCAGCCCCCCTTGGCCTGGAGAGCTGGCTCCCATCCTGCCCGTTGCCTTCCTGCTGGAGGTCGTACAGGGAGCTTCCCTGCCACCTTGGCACCACCTAGAAGTGAGTCCTCGTTTTCTACACCCCCGACTTTACTGATGCTTTAGGGGAGCCAAAGCTCTGTCCTCTGGGTGGACTTGCCCTCAGGGAAGCTGCAGACGGTGGGGACAGGGGCAGGAGGGCACAGCTGGAGATGTTTCCAGATGGGCACAGCCCCTGCAGAGCTCATGTGGGAAGCATGACTGGAACATGGCCAGAAGAGACAGCCAAAGCCCGAGGCGGGCCCAGCTGGTAGCTGCCACGGGGCCAGGACCAAGCCGGGACGGCAGGGCTGGGCAGAGAAGAGCAAGGGGTTGCTGGGGTTCTCCTTCCACTCTCCCCTAGGGTCCTGGGGTGCCAAGGAGGTGGGGAGGTCCCCAGGGCCTCACCCCGAGAGATGCCGTCTTTCACACCGTGGCTGCAGGGCCCATCCTTGACCAGCATCCCCCCTTGAAAAGGCTTGGGGCCTTTTCAAGTTCCCTGCTCACCCCAGGGGACAGACTGGATCCTTCTGGGACACAAAGTGGGACTGTAGCCATCCTGCAACCCAGGGGAACCCAGGCCAGGACAAAGAGAGCAAGGGGTTGGGGTGGGACTGAAGCTACAAGTGGGGGAGCTGGGAAGGATCGCCTGGGAGGGGAATCTGGGCAGGTGATAGCCAGCTCTTTCTCTCTCTGAAGTCCTGGGCATGGGGGGAGAACAGGACCATGTCCATGGGGAAGCCCAGCCCCCCGTGTCTGGAGGGGCTGCTCCGTAGGGAATGGAGCTCTCAGTAGGACAGACTGGGCTCAGAGGACAAGAGGGCCCCCAGCAGCAGGGGAGACTGGACTTTGGAGGAACAAGGCAGCTCGGGGTGGGAGAAAACAGAGCATTCATTCAGAGGTGGGGATTTGGGCCGCAGGGAATGGGAGGGTTTGGGACTTGAAAGACCCATACTCCCTTGGGGGGGGTAGGATCTGGGCCTGAGGGAAGATGGTGGGCTGGAAGCAATAGGTTTCCCTTTCAGGGAATGGGATTTTAGCCACAGAGGACTGGACACCGTCCTACAGTGAGAGGTGCTGGCTCTGGTGGGAAGGGCTCCCTTCAGCAGAGGGTGTGATTTAATCAGGGGGGAACATGGCAGTGGCCTCCAGCAAGAAGGACTGGCCCTGGAGGGAAGGGGTCTCCCTTTCAGTGGGTGCTCTTGGGGCTGCAGGGAACTGAACACACTGTGGAGAGAGGTGGCGGGGCTCCGCAGGGCAGGCTCCCCATTCAGGACATGAGATCTGGTCTGGGGGGAATGGGTGGGACTCGAGCCACAGGGAAGAGGTGCCTCACTCAGGGAGCAGCTCTGGGGGCTGGGGTTGGCCAAGCACCCTGTAGCGAGAGGGAAGAGGGCTCTTCAGGAGGCAGGTTTGGGGCTGGACAGAGCAAAGAACAGTGGTGAGAGAAGTGGGGGGGCCCCTGCAGAGAGGAGCTGGGCTCTGCTGGAGGAAGGAGGGAGAAACAGCACCCTGCACTGGAGGGGGCTGGGAGCGAGCTCCTCCTCAAGGCGCAGGGAACAGGAGGTCCCTGGAACAAGAGAGGGAAGGGGACCCTCGCACAGAGAGAGGCTTGTTCTGGACGAAAGTGCCATCCTCTAGCGGGAGGAGCGGAGGACTGGGGGCACAGCCTGGCAGAGGAGCTGGAACGGCATGGGGTACCACAGCTCACCTCTGGGGTGGGGGTGAGCCATGCAGCTCGTCCTTCAAGGCTCCCTAGTGGGACCTAGGGCGAGAGGGGCAGGCAGGCTTCCTCACTCATCCAGTCCCTTCTCTGAGCTCTCCTCTCCACCCCTGCCGCCCCTGCCCCACAGCTGCCCCAGACCCTGGAGGCTCCTCTCCCAGCCCCACGCTGGCAGGAACATTTTTGTTACTGAGTGGTTTCAGTCTCCTCTGACTCTTTACGATCCCACTTGGGGTTTTCTTGGCAGAGACACTGCGGTGCTTTGCCATTTCCTTCTCCAGATCATTTGACAGTTATGGAAACTGAGGCAGACAGGGTGAAGTGACTTGCCCAGGGTCACACAGCTAGGAAGCATCTGGGGCTGCATTTGAACTCAGCTACATGTGAGACTTCCCCTCCCCTGTGGTGCGTCGGTCAATAAGCACCTACTGTGTGCCAGGCAGCGTACTCCAAGGGAACAAAGACAAAAAAAGGGTCAGGGTTTCCTCTGCGCCCACCTTCCTTGGCCCTCACCGTTAGCTACTCTCAGCTGGGGGGCCTCGTAGAGGACCCCCCCACCCCGCCCCGGGCCACGGGGCTGATGAGGTCCCCCTCCCCCACGAACTCCCCCTTATGCACAGGGGGGCGGGGACTAACAATGAGGTCTCAGCTCCCAGCCCCCCTAAACGTCAAGAAGGGACACTTGAGGGACGCCGCGGAGGTCGGACCGCCGCAGACACTTCCCAGCTGGGGGAACCCCTCCCCCGCCCAGCACCTGCACCCCATCGCTCCGCCCCCGCCCCAGACTACGCTACCCAGAAGTCCGCGCGCAGACTCTTTGCCCTTTCCCACATTGCTCGGCGGTTCGGCTCTTAGGTGCAGGAAAGGCGGGTTGCCATGGGGACGGTCCTCCTCCGCCTCAGTTCCCGAGCTCGCGTCCTTCACACCTTCGGTCACGGTCCCGGGGTTAACCGCTTCTGGGGCGGTGCGCGGCGCTCTCGCGGCCTAAAGGGCTGGCGCCATAATGAGGCTGGGAGTACCGAGCTCCTGTTGCGACTCACCTGCTCCTCCTCCCGGTCTGCGGTTGTCATGGAGACCAAAAGGCAGGAAGCTGCCGCTAGGATTCTCTCATCTCCGCCTACTCCGCATTTCCGGGTGATTAGTAGAAGGCTAGCGCTTCGGCCCCGCCCCCGAAGCCTAATGTCCAACGACTATTGGTTGGGCGTGCCGTTTCTCCGGGCCTTCTCCAATGGGCGGGGACCGCCTTTCTCGTGCCGCTCCTTACGTTGACGGGGCTGGCCTAAACTGACAGCTGTCAGCCCTGCCCCCCGCGCTGTGTGCACTCAGAGCTCCCTGGAGACTAGTAACTGTCTTTTCCCCCCTCCCGAGGCACGGTTGGCCCCTGAACCACTGCCCTCCCCCTCCCCAACTCCCGCCCCCGGCCTTCCGACAGCCTCCGTTCGCACCCCTCCCCTAGCCAGCTCGGTCGGCAGCCCAATCTCCTCCGGAAGCTTCCGATGTCCCCGCCCGGAAATGGCCGAGCGCGGCCCCGGGCTGCGCGCCACCTCTGCGCATGCGCGCCGCGGGGCCGACAGCGGCCAGAGCCGAAGCGGGGGAGGCAGCGGCGGAAATCACCGAAGCGGCAGGGCGCCCCGAGACCGTTGTCGAGGTCCTTCGCGACCGCCCAGGCTGAGGGCCTGGCCCAGGTCGCAGCCGGCAGGTAGCCTGTAAGCGAGAGAGAAAAAGGGACAGAGAGAGAAAAGAGAGGGCAGCCGGGAATCCGATCTGGGGCAGAGGAGAAGGAGGAGAGGAGGGGGGGCGGGACCGAGAGCGGCCGCCAGGCGGGGGGGCGGGGTGGAGCCGAACCCCACTTCCGAAGGTACCCGAGCGGAGCCGAACCGTTCCGGAGGGAGCCGAGTGCTTCCGAAGCGGACCGAACTAACTACGGGAGCCGAGACGGGCCGCGCGGCGCGGCGCTGAACGGAGCAGCCGGGGCCAGAACGCGAAGGAGCCGGGCCGGGGCCGGAGCCGGAGCCGGGGCTGGGGCGGGCAGGCGGCAGGCGGCGGCGGACAGTGGGCAGGGGCGGCCGGCCGGCCAGGGCCCCGAGGAGGCGGCGGCGGCGGCAGGATGATCAAGCTGTTCTCGCTGAAGCAGCAGAAGAAGGAGGAGGAGTCGGCGGGCGGCACCAAGGGCAGCAGCAAGAAGGCCTCCGCCGCGCAGCTCCGCATCCAGAAAGGTGCCAGGGGGAGAGGGCCGCCCCGCCCCTACTCCGAGTGCCCAGAGACCCCCACCCACCCAACGGGAGGCTTCCGCCGCCCCGCCCCCATCCCGGAGGCCCAGAGTCACCCCCCACACCTAGTGGCATCCGCCGCCCCACCCCCACCCAAGAGGGGGGACATCCGCCGCCCGCCCCCATCCCCAGGGGAGCCTAGGGAGCCCACCTCAGGAATCCAGACAGACATTCCCCTACTCGGGACCCCTGCTGCCCCTCCACCACTCTATGGGACACTCCCCCCCCACATCCCGGGGCCCGACCCTACCCTGCCCAGCTCCTGATCGGAGGGTACAGATGATTGTCCCCAAATAACTTCTCGTCCTCTCCTCCAGACATTAATGAGCTCAACTTGCCCAAGACCTGTGAGATTGACTTTTCTGATCAGGACGACCTCCTCAACTTCAAGCTGGTCATCTGCCCCGATGAGGTGAGCCCCACTTCCCCCCATATGTGTCATGTTGCTTCCCTGGGCCTCTCCCACCTGTCTCTCCTGATTTCTGTTCTTCGCCAAGCCATTCCTGGGGCCTGGGGACTGTGTTCTGGGAGGTACCTGGGGCAGGCAGCCCCCAATAAGCCTCCCTTCCTTCCCTTTCCCTTCTTTTCCCAGGGCTTCTACAAGGCTGGCAAGTTTGTGTTTAGTTTTAAGGTAAGTCTTCTGAAGGGGAGGGCAGAAACTGTGCCCTGGGGGAGGGGCCAAGGGCCTCTGACTCTGCCTCCCTGTCCCCAGGTTGGCCAGGGTTACCCCCACGACCCACCCAAGGTGAAGTGTGAGACCATGGTTTATCACCCCAACATCGACCTTGAGGGCAATGTCTGCCTTAACATCCTCAGGTAGGCGCCCCCACCCCAACCCTCCTGGGGCACAGGCAGGTGAGTGGGAAACAGAAAGACAAGGTCATTTCTGGCCTGCTGGCCCTTGAGGTGAACTTTGAAGGAAGCAGGCAGGGTGTGAGGGTACAGAGGCTCTGCCCAAGCATAGACTTGACTCAAGCCCCCGAGGGTTGTGGTCAGCCTGGGGCTGCTGGGGATCAGCATACCACCTCGGAGCCTTTGGCAGTAGCCTCGAGGAGATGGCAGGAAAGGGTCTAGGGCTCAGCAGAGAGTCATCATGGAAGAAGTGACCTGACACAGAGGTGGGGCTTGAACCCACTTTTCTGACTTGGGACTGGCAGCCAGCAAAGCCCATGGAGAAAGGCAACTGCCTGCCGGCCAGCGAATAACCAGGAGGTGGGGGAGGGTGGGGGGAGGAGGTGGAGGTAGTAGCGGCCTCCGGAACAGAAGCCCCTTTGCTGCTTCTCAACCCTGGCTGGGGGCCGGCCTTCTTCCGCAGAGAGGACTGGAAACCAGTGCTAACGATAAACTCCATCATCTACGGGCTGCAGTATCTGTTCTTGGTGAGTCCCGAGGGATGGGGGATGGAGGCGGGGTCCCTGCCTGCCCGCTTGCCTTACTCGGGTCTGGGCAGCCAAAGATGGGGGCGGGGCCGGCCTGGCCTGACCGGCCCCTGCCCCTCCCCCGCAGGAGCCCAACCCCGAGGACCCCCTGAACAAGGAGGCGGCTGAGGTCCTGCAGAATAACCGGCGCCTCTTCGAGCAGAACGTGCAGCGCTCCATGCGCGGCGGCTACATCGGCTCCACGTACTTCGAGCGCTGCCTCAAATAGGTGGGGGCGGACTGACGGACGGACAGCCCCGCCCCCCGGGCCGGCCCTCCTCCTCCGGGCCCCTCCCCCTGGTTGGGGTGGGGGACGGGGCGTCCGCGGCCCCCGGGCCACATATTTATTGGGGGCCGGGGCCTCGCGCGGGAGTGGGGATGGGGAGGGGTCTCCGGCTGCACCCCGCCCCCAGTTCTCTTTTTGGGTTTAGTTTTTTTTTAACCACGTGATTGATGGGCGCCGCCCTCCCCCGCCCCAGTCGTCAGGATCAGAGAAGGGAAATGAATTGGATTGTCCCCGGACCCCGCCCCCACTCTCACTCGAGTTTGTGTCAGGTTATTAAAAGGGGAATGTTGATGCAGTGCTTCTGCCTCCTGGCCTTCTGTCCGTGCGTCCATCCGTGCTGCGGGGCCCCGTGAGCACATTTCTCGGGGCTGGACCCGAACCTGCGGCCCTGGGAAAAAGGGGGGGGTCGGGTTGGAGCGCCAGCGTCTGCGCAGGCGGGTCCTTGGGCCCCGCGGATCCCGCGCGCCTGCGCACTACGTCTCTAGGCTCCCGGGAGGGGCGCGCGACAGTGACGTCACGGCGCCAGAATCCGGAAGCAGCGGCGGGTTCTCGGAGAAAGCAGGCGCCGAGGAGACCCCGGGCAGCGGCGGCAGCGCGGGGTGGGTGGGCCGGCGTCCGGCGCGGGGCAGCGCGACCCGGGGGGGGGCCTTCCCGGAGGCGACGGCGGCGGCGGCGGTTGTGCTTCCAGCTCGGGGCCGGTGAGTGAAGGCGGTGCCCAGCTCGCGGAGCCCCGACACCCCCGCCCCAAGAGGACGCCGGCGTCCCGATCCCATTCTCCTCCCCCTCGATCTCTGAACGCAGCGCCCCCGCCAGGCACCCCTGGGGACCCTGATGTTCTGGCCCCGCCCTGGGGAGCCCCCAATCCACCCCTCCTCGCAGCCATCCCCTATGGGGAGGGGGGCCGTGTCAGTTTCCTTCAGACCAGAGAACCTACTGTGCATTGCCCAAGGCGGGCATGCAGCCCGTGGGGGCCAAGCCGAATTCGAACCCAGACCTTGCTGATCTTAGGGGCCAGGTGTCTGCCCTCTGTTCTCCAGTTGTAAGGATAAGGAGTTTGGGGTTGAAGTTCACAGGGAATGTGAGCAATGAGGGCAATGAGCCTCTTGTAGAGTGAGTGGGCGGAGCCTGGGCACCTAGGGAGGTGGTCGTCGGCATCCTTCAGGCAGGGGAGGGGCGGACATAAAAACGGGTGACCCTATTGTCCTAGATGTCATCTGCCCTTTGTAGCTAGACTCATCCAGAGGTCCGCCAGTGGCTCCACTCTGTCCTCTCACCTCACCCCTTACAGTCTGACTTCTGAACTTATCATCCCACCCAAAGTGACAAATGCAGTGGCCTCTTCTGGATGTCCCTGCAGCCTTGGACACTGTTGGTCACTCTCTCCTCTAGCTTTTCAGGACACCCTCTTTCCTGGTTCTCTTTCTCCTCCTCCCTCTCTGACCCCTCCTTCTGCATCTCCTTGGCTGGCTCCTCTTCCAGGTTATGCTCTTCAACCTTGGGTCCCTCAGGGCTCTGTCCTGGGCCCCTTTCTCTTCTCTCTCCTTGGATTGAAAGATCATCTCTATGCTGAGGTTTCTCAGATCTACCTTTCCCTGCCCCAAGCTCTGCTGACTTCCAGTCTCCCATTTCCAATGGCCTTTCAGACCTAAACCTCTCCCCCATACACACATTTGCTGTCACTGGAAAGGGCACCACCATCCACCAGATTTCTCAGGCTCCCAACCCCAGTCACACCCCCTAGATCCAATATGGTGCCTAGGCCTGTCCCTTTCACCTGGGCAGCATCTCTGGGCAATTTCACCTCTGCTGCATCTCTCCAGTGTTTGTCTCTTCTCTGACAGTAACCCCACCCTGGTGCAGGCCCTCATCACCTTACACCTGGACCCTATCATCCAGGTATCAAATACAAAATGCTTTGTTTGGCCTTCAGAGCCTTTCATGATACTAGCCTCCTGAAACAACACCCTCTATCAGGAATTTTTTCTGACAGTTCCCCATGCTTGGAGCGCTCTCCTCTGCATCTGCTGAACCTGCTAGTCTCAAGTCAGCCAGTAAACATTTATCAAGTGCCTACTATATGCCTGGCACTGCACAGACATCCCTGCCGTCAAGGTGCTCTGTCTAGGAGGGGAGACGACACCAAGGGGTGTCTGCTGATGGGGAGAGCTGAGTGCCAGCCAACACCCTGCCTGCCTTCTGCAGAGAGCCTTTCTGGATCCCTCCCCTCCCTTGATGGAAAGTGAGGGACTGTCTTTTGCCTCCCTCTGTATCCCCAGAGCCTGGGCTCTGTGACTGACTCTTTGCTTCTGCAGCTCCAGCACCACCATGGACCTACTGTTTGGGCGACGGAAAACTCCTGAGGAGCTGCTGCGGCAGAACCAGCGGGCCCTGAACCGAGCCATGCGCGAACTGGACAGGGAACGTCAGAAGCTGGAGACCCAAGAGAAGAAAATTATTGCAGACATCAAGAAGATGGCCAAGCAGGGCCAGATGGTGACTGGGCCCCCCAGTCCCAAGCTTCACATCAGGGTGGGGGGAGAGGATGAAGGGCCCGCTCCCCCTGGCTGAGTTGTGGTTCTTGAGGGGCCTGGACAGGGACATGACCTTTCCCTCTGGCCTGGGCTCTTGGACCCCAGTCCTGGCTGGGGAAGAGCTAAGCGACCATTCCCATGGGAATCTTGGCCCACCTGCCTGTGGAGCCTCTATGACGCCATTCTCCCTGCTCAGGACGCCGTGAAAATCATGGCCCGCGATCTGGTGCGCACACGCCGCTATGTCAGCAAGTTTGTGATGATGCGGGCCAACATCCAGGCCGTGTCCCTGAAGATACAAACACTCAAATCCAACAACTCCATGGCTCAGGCCATGAAGGGTGTCACAAAGGCCATGGGGACCATGAACAGGCAGGTACAGTTGCCCCTGAGCAGTTTGCATAAGGTGGGTCCATAGGGGCCTGGGCCTGAACATCAGGCCAGTGAATGATGGAGACCTAGGGGGCTGCATGCCAGAAGATGGTGGCCCTGGAGGACTCAGGGAGTGGTCCGTGAGACTTTCTAGTGACCAGCAGGAGAAGAGTGGGGGGGCTGGGACAGGCATCTTTGAGCAGCAAGGGTGGCCCCCTCAGTGCTCATGGGCAGGCATTGGGTGGGCCTTGCCTTTGACCAGGTCAGCCATCAGGGTACAGGCTATGCCTGTCCACACGCGCAAAGGAAGGATGGTGTCAGCTTGGAGATCTAGGTTGGGGGCACTTGGGGACGGGGGTCCAGCCCAAGTCCCTCCTGCCCTCCCCAGCTGAAGCTGCCCCAGATCCAGAAGATTATGATGGAATTTGAGCGTCAGGCAGAGATCATGGACATGAAGGAAGAGATGATGAACGATGCCATCGATGACGCCATGGGTGATGAGGAAGACGAGGAAGAAAGGTGCTGGGGAGGCCAGGGTTAGGGGGCTGGTGTGGGCTTTGCCCTCTCTTCCTTCCTCCCTCATCTCCTGTTCTCTGCCCCTTCAGCGACGCCGTGGTGTCCCAAGTGCTGGATGAGCTGGGCCTGAGCCTGACAGATGAACTCTCCAGTGAGTGCCCCTGCCCCTCCCACCCCAGCCTATGGCAGCCCCTGCCTATCTCTGACTAGCCTGTGCCTTTCCCTCCTGCAGATCTCCCTTCCACCGGCGGTTCCCTCTCTGTGGCTGCTGGGGGCAAGAAGGCAGAGCCTTCTGCAGCCCTAGCTGATGCTGATGCTGACTTGGAAGAGCGCCTGAAGAACCTGAGAAGGGACTGAGCCAGCAGGGAGGGGAGGTGGGGAGTGCTGACCCCACCGGGAGAATAAAGTTTCTAAGATGTCATCAAATTTGGTTGTGATGTCAGTGTGCATACTCCTCTCCCCTGGCTGGCAGGCCATCTTCTGGTTCCCTCATTTTTTATTTTCCAGCCTCATTTATCTCCCTGATTCAGCAGATATGACCCCCCCCCCACCAAACCCACCACCCTCTGTAGCCAGGTGACAAGACGGCCCAAAAGAACAAAAGAGCAGCTTCCCAAGTGGAGGCAGGGAGAGGCATGGCTGGCAAGTTTATTGGATGGGTGTTTCAATGAACTCCAAGCTCAGTACAAGAAGCAGATGACAAAAGTTGACAGCTCCTAGGCCCCACCTAGGTGGGGCAGCCCCCCAAAAGCCCCTTCCAAGCCCCAGCTTCTCCAGGGAGAGATTGTCAGGAAAAACTAACCCTACTTCTGAACCATTCAGACCTTGGGGGGCCAGAAGTGGGTGTGAGGGCCCTAAGAGGAAAGACTGTCTAGTCTAAATGGAAGAGGGAAGGACCCTTAGGGCCGGAGTCCTCTCCCCCCCCGGGCAGCAAGCTGTGCCTCCCCGAGAAGCCTCCCGCTAAGGGGAGGGAGGACTCTGCTCCAGCCAGGGCAGCCCAGGAAGCCACCATGCCCACCAGCCAGCCCCACTGCCAGGGACTCCCAGGCCACCCCGCTTGCTCTGGGTCTGTGTGACCTTGTGGGACTGTGGGACCTTGTCTCCTGGGTTACGTTTTTATTAAATCAGAGAAGTAAAAACTGCATCTGGGGATAGGATACAGAAGGACCAACAGGTGAAGGAAGGAATGAGTGAGGGGATGATGGAGCCATTCTGGGGCAAGGTGGGGGTTCAGTTACTGTCGCTGGGGCCCCCCACCAGCTCTGGAGGGGCCAGGCCAGGGCCCGGGATAGGGGGAGGGAGGGGCTCCACCAGAATAGCTGAGAACTTGGTGTCCCCAAAAGCCTCGTTCATGCGAGTCTCAAAGAAGCGTTGAAGGCCAATGATGGACTGGACATCAGCTTTGTCCTGTTCGTTGGTCAGAGCAGGGTTGGAAGAGGTGTCAGGTGCCCACTGGCCTCCCCCCACCGCTGCCACCTCCACCCCCCACCCTCCATTCCCACTGCCTCACCTCAGTGAGTTTGTTGAACTGCTTGAACATGCGGCCCACATCCTGGGCAAACTCCTGTGGGGAGCTGTATGGGGGCGACAGCTTCTCCTGGAGGCGTGCGCGGATCAGAGTGAGGTCCAGAGTGCCCGGCTGCTCTGCTGAGGGTGTGGGGTCCGTGGCCAGTCGGTGCAGGGGACGGCATGGCTCGTGGCAGAGCAAGGCCAGCAGCACACGCTCACACTTCTGCAGGGGAAGCAGGAGCTCAGGCCCACTGCCGTAGCCCCGGCCTGCCCCACCCCTGGGTGCCCACCCCTGTACCTGCTGGTTAGTAGGTGACAGCTTGGCAGGGCAGGTATCCCCATCGGGGGTCAAGGCCACACTGTCGGGGCCAGGAAGAGGGACCTCATCTTTGCAGTCCACCACCTCCTGGCACAGGGAGCAGCTCCACTCCTCCCTGGCGGGGTGTAAGAGATGGAGACAGGTCAGAAAGAGCTATGGGTGTTCTGGAGAGGCTGCTAAGGCCTGCCTTGGACCGGCACTCATCTTCCAACAAGGGCAGAGGAGTGCTCCCTCTCCAGCTCCCTCCCTGAGCCCACCGCCCCTCACCAAAAAGAGAGAACAAGGGAGGCTGGTGGACCCCCAAGGGGAGCCCTCCCCACAGGAACGCTGTCACCATCTCTGTCCACAAGGCCCACCAAGGCCTGCTCCTGGGACCATCCTTTTGTCCCCTTACCCAGGCACCTCCTGCAGGGTCGGCAGGTGACACTCCAAATGGAAGCAGAATTCACACTGGCTACACATCACCAGGTCCCCCGGCTTCTGGCAGACGCGGCAGATGGTGGCGCTGTCATCCACGGCTCCGGGGCCACCAGTGGCTGCAGAGGCCGCGGCAGCGGCTGCATCGGAGCCTCCCAGCACTTCCAGGCCAGAGCTGGTGCTGCCGCTGGGGGAGGCCAGGTGGGGACCCTCGGGGCCCGAGGCCTCCAGAGGAGGCAGCAATAGTGGCTTTGTCTCCAGGCCCTCTACCCCTGGGGGGGCTCCGATGGCAGCCTCTGTCTCCTCCTCCTGGGAAGGGTGGGGTGTGAGACCGGGACCCTGCGCTCCCTTGCCCCCCCCCCCCCCCTTAGGTCTCCTCCACCCCTCTCCTCACCTTGACCATGGCCATGGGCGGCATAGGAGGACCCCCTGGTGCCCCTGGCTGGCCCCCCCTCTCGATGACGATGAGGTTGTAGTCTTCATTGGTGGTCCCTGGGAAGACCTTGAAGACTGGGGGCTGGCTGTCTGCTGTCAGGTCCAGATCGAGGCGCTCCAGGCTCACCCTGGGCACCTTCCGCATGAGGCCGCTCACTTCGCCCTCACCCGATCTGGACCTGAAGAGGGCAGGGGTGAGACATGCCAAGAGCAGGACTGGTCCACAGTACGCCCACCCCAAGAGAGGCCTCGGCCTTGCCCACTCTACCTTTTCATTCCAGACACGTTGGGCTCAGCACTGTAGGGATCATCTGGGAAACAGGAAGAGACACTAAGGCGTTAGCACCCCAGGGGACCCCCCTCAGCCCAGCCCTTCTCACTCCCGCTCACCTGGGCCATAGCTCCCATAACCTTCTTGCAGATCCATGGCCTAGGGAACAAAGGACAGAACAGGAGTCAGCAGCCAGTATCCTGAGCCCAGCCCCACCCCCAAGACCACCAAGGTACCCCCCATAGCCCAGTGCCCCCCTCCCAAGAGAGGGACTTACCTGATTGCCTCCAGGCTTGCCAGGGGCCCGGGGAGGGGCCATGGAACCGGGACCACTCCTCTCTGAAACAATCTTACCTGTGGAGGGAGAAAGCAACTGGCTCATCCCCCTCCAGCTCCCAGCCCCATGTCATCTTTGCCAAAGACCAGACTAAGGAGGTCTGGCTGGGTCCCACCCTGGGCCAGCAGGAGCAAACACCCACCGAAGGCCTCGGCGCTTTTGGTCCAAGCGTTGAGGTCCCACTGGAACTTCATGTCCCCCTGGGGTTCCACGGGGTCCACAATCATCTTGAGGGCACGGTGCAGCTGGAAGTAAATCTGGGGGCCCCAGGCCTGGGTGAGGGCGGGCCCCAGGCCCTCCCCCTGACCCCAAGCAGGCCCTACCCCAGGCCCCGCCCACCAGGCCAGCCCCCTCACCAGCTTCTTGGACAGCAGCAAGGCTGTGTTGTTGTCACTTTCCAGAGCCCAGGAAGCAAAGCGCAGGATGTGCTCCTGGTGCCTCTGGATCTTGGTCATGGTCCAGTGCTGGCGCTCTAGGCGCTCCTGCTGCCCCTCTGTCACCTTCTGGGCATCGTTAACCAGCACGCGCCCACGCTTGTTCAATTCTTTCATGATCTGCAGGATGGCCATTTTCACATCCACCTGCACCCGCTTCTGCACATCGGTCACTTGGCGGATCCTGAGGGACAGGAAAGTGTGTCAGAGACAGAGGTCATCATGAGTCGCCATGTAGCATCTGAGCATGGTGCACACCAACCCGCCTGGGACTCACGAGGTGCGCACTTCCTTGGTGTTCTTCTGCAGGGTGGCATGCTTGTCCCCCAAGCGCTTGACCAGGGAGGCCAGGAGCTTCCTCTGGTTTCTCACAGCATCCTCCAGAAACTGGTATCTGCCCAAACACAGAGTTAGGGGGAAGCCAACCCACCCTTGAGGAGCACACCAGAGCATGTGATCAGCCTTCCTCTGCATTCTCCACACTGGAGACCCCAGCCTTCCTGCACTGCTCACTTCCCACCTGCCCTCTCTGGGCCTTGGCCGCCTCTTCTCCAAGATGGGCTGGACCCCAAAGCCCTGGACTGCCCCGCCCCCAGCCACAGCAGTCTGAGAAGATACCACAGCACAGGTGAGGCTGACCTCCACAATGAACCCTAATTGGCAGAAATCTCCAAGGGTGGTGAATCAATGGGCACCAGCAGCTTTAAGCCTAACACAACCAACGAGATTAGAGCTGAGGTGGGCAGCCCACAGCAACAAGAACCCAGGCCTGGGACCCCCACAGGCCCCCAAATTAAGGGCCAGTGCTGACAGAGCCTGCCAGAGGAGGAGGGAGAAAAGAGACCCATGGGCCCCACTCACTGATGCTCCTTGTGGGCATTGAGCTGGCAATCTCGGCAGGTGAGGGTGTCGCAGCTCTCGCAGAAGAGGACCAGCGGCTCGTGCTTGTGGACTGAACAGTAGACAGTGCGCTCCCCATCTCGGGTCTTGGCAGGGCCTGCAGACATACCCAACAGGCAGGCGGCTGAGGGAGCCAGCTCTTCCAACCGGGCTTCATCCCTGTCCCCGCCCCTCTCCAATACATCCTGCTAAGGAACGCTGGGTCCTCCTCCCCCAAGCCCTTTTCTCCTTCAGCTTCTTCCTGGGCCCAGCTGCCCTCCTTCCCCTGGCCTGCCTTCCCTCCCTACAGCCAGCCAGCTGGGTCCACGCACCAGTGGAGCGGACGGTGTGGTCCTTGGTGTACTTGACCCGCTGGTGGGCCTCCACGCACGTCTCACACAGGGGCTCTGAGCACTCAACACAGTAGCTGGTGGCAGGGGCATTGTCCTCGCAGCTGGTGCAGCACTAGGAAACAGCAAATGGACATTGCTGGCCCCACACTTCTCGGGAGGAGGCAGGCACACACATGACCCCTCTAGGCCTCTAAAGGAGCCAAAAGCCCAGTCTGGCCCAGAGCTGGGCCAGGCCACATGACCGAGGTGGCCATCCCAGCTCTTCAGGGGCCACAAAGTGAGGAGGAAAAGAGAATTGATTTCCAGGACCTTTCTGCTGGGCTCTAATCAAGGTGAGCTCACCTGGCTGAGGAACTTTATATAAACAAAGCTAAACCAGCTAGGGGATGGGGGTGAGTACCACGCTGTGTCACAGCAAGCCAAGGTTCTCCTGGATGGTTGGGGTAGAGAACATGGCTCACCTGGTTGGGGGAGCATGAGAACCAAGCCTCACCTGGAGAGTGAAGCCTGGTTCCCCCCCCCCACCCCCCAAGCTCACCTGGATGGCTGAGGAGCAATGAGTGTGGATCACCTGGCTGCCACCCCCCCCCACCAGGATGAATGGGGGGAGGGGGCGTGGCTCACCTGGCTGGGGCTGGGCAAAGGAGGCTCTGCCGGGCCAGGGAGGGGGCGTGGCTCCCCTGGCTGGCGCCAAGACTCACCTGGTTGGCATCCTTGGTGTCGGTGGAGGTCTTGGTGCCACTGTCTCTCATGAAATAGTTTTCCACGATGTCCTTGGCAAAGCATTGCTGTTTGCAAACCGGACAGTCCACCACTGCAGAACGAGGGGAGCAGAGGGAGCCGGGGCTGGGGGAGGGAGGTCGATTGGGGCTCCCCCCATCCCGCGCTCAGCCCGGCCCTCCCTCCCCGCCCCCCTCCCGCCGCAGGCCCGAACAAAGGGCCGGGGCCGCACGAGGTGCCCCTCCCCCGCCGCCCCGCGCCCCTCCCCCGCCCGGCAGGCTCACCCGCGCCGTCGCCCCCGTTGTTGGCGGCGGCAGGCCCGGTGGCGGTGCCGGTGGCGCCGCCCCGGCGCGGAGGCCGGCCCGAGCAGCAGGCACTGACCGCACACCGAGTGCAGGCAGGGCAGCAGGCGCGGCTCCCGCTCGGGCCGCAGGCGCTCCCTGCACACGCCACAGTGCTCCAGCAGCTCGGCCGCCTCGCTCGGCCCTCCACCCGCCGCCGCCGCCGCCGCCGCGCCCGAGGCCGAAGAGGCGGCAGGGCCCGCGGCGCCCGAGGCCGAGGAGGCGGCAGCCGCAGGCCCTGAGGGGCCTCCGGCTGAGGCTGCCGCCGACGAGCCAGCCGCGGCCGAGGAGGACGAGGCGGCGGCAGCGGAGCCCGACCCCGAAGGGCCCCCGGACGCGGCCGAGGCCGAGGCAGCCGGCCCCCCGGGGCCCCCGGGCCCGCGCTTCTCGGCGCCCGCGGGCCCGTCCCCGGAGCCGGGGCTGCCCGCGCCCGCCGCCACCGACGCTGCCATCCCGCGCTGCTGGCGCGCTCTCCGCCGGGGATCGGCCCGGACCTCACGCGGCCTCGCTCCCGCTCCCGCCGCCGCCGCCGCCGCCGCCGCCGAAGGGGCTCACACGGGCGCGGGCACAGGCGCGGCCTCGGTCACAGGCCTCTGCGCGTGCGCGTCAGGACGCGCGCGCCGCCCAAGGGGAGGAGGGGAGGGGCCGACCGGCGCTCCCGCCTCGCGCAGGCGCACAGCGGTGCGCGCCGCCGCAGCCGCCGCCGCCGCTCGACTCCGCTTGGCTCCGCTCGGCTCGCCAACGGCCCAGGCCCGCGCCAGGCGCCGCCTCAGGGCCCCCGTACGGCCAGACGGAAGAACGTGGCTTGCAAGGCTGGCTACTGCGGCGCCCGACGCAGGCGAGGGGACCGCGGCCGGGCCGCGCCGAGGCGAACGGGAGCAGGAGCACGAGTGGGAGCGGGAGGAGCGAGAAGACCAGACGCTAGAGCAGGAGCAAGAGACGGAGGAGGGGCAAAAGAAAGCGCACGCCGAGGGGGCGGGGCTAAATAACCGACGTCACCGCTCCGCCCGCCAACCGCCTTGCTTCGGGCCCCCCGCGCACTGCGACGCCCTGACGCCACTACGTCCCGCACGAGGGCGGGACCCGGGGCCCGGGAGCCAGAAGAAAGGCGCTGGGGGCGGGGATGGAGGGGGCCCATGCGCACTGATCTTGGGCGGCTTAGGACGCGGCAGGGGGATGGGAAGAGGGGGAGGAGGGAGAGAACTCTAGAGGCGGGAAGGGAGACGAAGGAGCCCTTCGGACGCGAGGCGGACGCGGTCCAGAGGGGGCGCAGGCGCAGGCGCTCCGATTTCGGGCACGGTCCCCTCCCCGGCTTTCCGCGCATGCGTAGGAGGCAGGCCACGTGGGCGTGGCGGGGGGTGGGACCGAAGGCCGGGAGGAGGAGCTGGTGTGATGCCTGATGCGGAGGCTGGTTCTGGGGACTAAATAACGATGGTGGCAGCGCAGCGCCTTACGCTTTGTAAAACATTCCCGTCCTAAACGTGACCTCAAGGTCCTCACAACTAGCCTAAGCTGGGAGCAAACTGAGGCAGGCGGGGGTTACCCGGGGTGCCGCAGCTCTGCGGTGCCTGAGGCTGGATTTGAACTCGGGTCTCCCAGTGCACTGCGACACCGCCTGCCTATGTCTCCTTGTGTCCATTGCTCAGAGGAGAAAACTGAACCCCGTCTAACCTTCAGGACCAGGAGGGAGAAACTGCAGCGCTGCCCCCCTACACAGGAACTGCAGACTCCTCCCCGCGGGTGTGGGGGTCCGCCTCGGTCCTCCTGTCCCCCCTCTCAGTCTCCCTGTCTCTCCCTCCTTCCCGGCCTTTATCTCTGTCTCCATCACCACCCGAGGCCCCTTTGTCCCCTCCCTGTCCCCCACATCCCCACCTATTGGACATGGAGATGGGCACACCCAAAACATGCTTGTGACGGACCCTTTCCAAACAGCTCTCCTTGTCCAGGGTGCCAGCATCCTTCCGCCCACCCAAAAGGAGATGGTTGGAGTCTCTCACCCTCACCCCCCTCAATCCAATCCTTTGGGCAATCGGCCCATTCTTCAACCCTGTCTCCAGTCTCTGCCCTCACTGCATAGCCACCCTGGTTCACCTGGACTATCTCTTCAGCTCTCCTTCTTAGGAGAGGTCATCTGTTCCAAGGGCCTGAGGTCGCAAAGGCTAGCCGATCAGGGCAGCTGAGAGGGACCTTTGAGCTCCCCTGAACCATGCCTTAGGCTGTGCTGAGTATGGGCAGTGGCCTTCTCTTGTACCTTTAAGGCCCTGTGAATCCCAGGACTCCGGTTCGCTCTTGGACATGCTGGGATGGGCTCACTCAGAAGAAGAGGGGCTATTTTGACCTCTCTGCAGCACAGGGCTACATCCTAACAGGGGGACTTTGAACCAGGTTGAGTCTGGGGGCTCCCAGGGCCTGGCAGCTACACTAGAAAAGAGAGGACATTTACCCTGCCAAAGTAATATGGGGTTCTGGAGCAGAATTCCTGGAAGGATGGACAAGGCCATGTGGTTCTGGGTAAGGGCTATCCTTCCCCTAAATCCCAACACACAAAAAGACAGCACCCATAGGGTCTCCTGAAAAGACTCAGCCTTGAGGTACCAAGGCTTCCTCCTCCTCGTTCTCCTTCTTTACTCCCAGAACCTGGTCAGAGGCCACACTTGGACTTAGGAACCCCAGGACAGCAAAGGGCAAAAGGGATGAATGGAATTCTGCTGACTAGAAGTGAAGTATGAGAGTCACTCCTTTAGTCTCCCTGAAGTGGTCACATACAAAAGAAATACAGACATCTTCCTCCAGCATCATGTCAATCCCCCACGAAGCAGGGTTGGGGCAAAAAGTAGCAGGTCCTTTCCCTGCAGACAGAAAGAGGCGGCAAAATGGGGGGAGAGAGACAAGAGAAATGGAAGAGGGAGACAGAGGAATGGGGGAGAGAAACAGAAATGGAGGGGACAGAGAAATGGGGAAGAGACAGAGACAGGGAGGAAAGAAGAGAAATGGGGGAGGGAGAGGAATGGGGAGAGAGACAGGGACAGAGAGGAGAAAGAAATGGAAGAGGGAGACGGGGAGAGAAATGGAGAGGCAGAGGAAAAGGTGAGAGATGGAGAAAAAGGGGAGGAGAGAAAGAAAAAGGAGAGAAATGAGGGGGAAAGAGAAAGATTGAGAAATGGAGGGACAAAGAAATTGGGGGAGAGACAGGGAGGAAAGAGAAGAGAAATGAGAGAGACAGGGAGGAGAGAAAGAAATGAGGGAAGAGACAGGGAGGGAAGAGGAGAAATGGGGGAGGGAGAAAAATGGGGGAGGGAGACAGGGAGGAGAGAGAGAAATGGAGAGACAGAGGAAAAGGTGAGAGACAGAGAAAAAGAAAGGGGGAGGAGAGAAAGAAATGGAGAAGGAAAGGGAGAGGGACAGAGAAATGGGGAAAAGAAAGATAGAGAAATGGGGGAAAAGAAAGATTAAGAAATGGGGAGACAGAAATGGGAAAGAGAAAAAGAGGGAGGGAAACAGAAGAGAAGCTGCAGATGCCTGAGAAGGGGGATGCAATCTTGGATATTTTAGGGGGGCTGAGCAAAGACCCACATTCACTTTGGCAGAAAGTCACTGCCAGCCCCATACCCGGGCACACAGACAGGCACCCAGGTGGAAGGGCCCCGTCTGTCTTCTGCCTCCCCACCCCCAGTCCTGCAGCCGCTGCTGTAATTTTAGAAAGCTAGTGAAGACAGAGCCTGCACTTTGTGCAGGCCAGAGATTGGGGTGGGGGTCTGGGCCCAAGGCCTGACATCTCCTGTCAGAACTGCCAAAATAGGTCCTTTGAGGTTCATTATAGGCCAAGACCCCGAGGGCCACACACACTAGTCCAGCGTCTTTCGGGGAGGCTCCCCCCACTTTCCCCTCTCTGCATCTGTGAATTGGGTCACGGGCTTCCTTTTTCATCCACCACAGGAGACATGTCCAGCCAAGACTTGGCCTCTGCTAAGGAAGCCCAGGCACATGGGGCCCTGGAGGGAAGTGGATCTGCCCATGGACAGACTCGGCTTGCTTGCAGGTGAAGCCTGCTCTGCTTGTCTATGAAGCCTTTTGAGGGAGCTGGAGAGGCTGAAGTTTGGGTGGGAGCTAATGCTGAAAATCACAAGTGGGACAGACCAGGACGTAGGAGAAGAAAGCAGTCTTGGTATCTGCAAGTATTGGGAAAAGGACTGGACTCTTTCCCCGGGGGGGAGGGGTTCTCCAAAGCCCTTTGGAAGCCTGAGGTCCCTGCAGGGGGAGGGGGCAAGAGAGAGGAATAGCTAGGACCCAGCTGCCAGGTCATGGTAGGAGTGGGGCTGAAATGCTGACGGTGTGGGGGCCTCATCTTTGGGGTTTGTTTTTGCATCAGGTTAAATACCTCTGCTAGAGGTATATTGTTAGATGAGTGCTTGCATGGGATCTTTTGCCCTTTTTTTGTCAAAACGTGAAACCAATTTTTATGTTTCCAGGGTAGGGACAAAACACATCAAATGTGAACAACCCCAGAGAAGACTGTGGATGGGGCCATGGGACAAAGAGAGTTTGTTTGGAGGGCAAATCCCTTGAGACTGAGCCCAGGCCTCTACACCCGGAGCTGTGAGGGTCTGGACCAGAAGGCACGTACAGATGAAGAAACTGCAGTGACAAAAATCTTCCCTGGACAAGGGACTGACAGAACCCCGAGCCCGATCCATTTGTCAGCAAGGCTGGCAGTTGCCAGCAAATGGGGTCCAAGGACCCAGCTGGCAGTCAGAGTGGCTTCTTACCTAGTGGGTTGCAGACTATGGCAGAGCTGAAGGGGGAGGGAAGAGCACCCACAAGCACCCCTGGAAAGTCGGGTGGCATTGAGTCTTTGTGGTCAGGCACTCCCTGTGCCAGGGTGGTCCCACTAGGTCTGTTCTTCTCCCCTGCTCCCCCTCCTCTTGCAGCTGGGAGAGATCTGGGCCAGGCTGGAGCCCGGAGAAGTGGTGGAGTTAAACTAACAAACTCTGCTCGTCAGGCCTCTGCAGTTGAGTCTAAATCAAATCCGAAAGGGCTGGCTGATTCCAGGGACCAGATAGGATTCTCAACGAGTTTTGCAACACTAAGGTGCCCCGAGGCAGTGACCTGGCCTAGGCCCCCAGCTGGTGAGAGCAAGAATGCAGCTTGGAACCTCTATCTGGCATTCTCTCTCCCGCCCCCTTCCGGGGTCTCGTTCAAGCCTCCCCGTCCCCAGGTGCTCACCGCTGCTCTTTTGGTCTCTCTGCCCGTTGGTGCCCGCGCGGCACCTGATGATCTCCCTCAGAGCACCCAGCGCCTGGGAGAGACACCCATCTTCTTTGTAGCCTCATGGAGCCCCCACCCTGGTAGAGTGAAAAGACACCGACCCAGACAGCTGTAGCAATCAACCAAGAAACATCTGGAGGCCCCTGCTGCCTGCCGGGCCCTGTGCTAAGTCCTGGACAAGGGCACACGCACACGTGCACACACACGCACATGCATATACACACAACTGCATGTGTAGGAAGTTCTCCTGAGCCTCCTTTCTGCCAGCCTGCTTCCCACTTTTCCCAGCAGATTTTTCCAGTAAGTCTTCCCCTAGGTCACTTAGGGTTTTCACTTTAGCGAACACTGGATTATGGAGTTCCATTATTTCTGATTCTCCCTTGCCTGTTCTGCTCCACTGATCTCCTCTAACCAAGACCAGGCAGCTTTGAGGACCACTTCTCTGTACTGCCCTTGGAGGCCTGGAGCTTCTGTTTCCCCTCATCCTGCCTTCTTTCCATCATTTCCCTTCATGTTCTGGATCTTTTGGGGTTTTTTTCAAGTGATTTTTGTTGTTGTTGTTATTTTTTCAAGCCTGTAAGCATCCCTTGCTAATTTAGTTAGTGTTGCATTAAAGGTGTGAATTGATTTAGGTACTGCCATTTTTATTATATTGGTGTGACCTAGTCATAAGAACTGAATAGGCCTCAGCCTATTCAGGTGGTTTTTTTTGTTTCTTTACCTTGAAGAGTGTTTTGTGATTGCATCTAGATAAATCTTTGCTCTTTAGGATAGGAGGTGGATCCCCAGATACTTCATGCATTTTGCCATTATTCGGAATGGGATTTCTTCTTCCTTCCTTATTGCTTGTGTTTTATTATCATTTGTTAGAAACGCTGTTGATTTTGAGGGATTTGTTTTGCAGTCTACAACTTTGCAATGGCTTTTAGTTGTTTTCCTCGGTGTCTTTGCTGATTCCTTAGGATTTCCCAAGTAAACCATCATATCCTCCACATGGAAGGATATATTTATTCTAGTCATTCCTTCCTCTTGTCTCATTGCTGCTGTGAGCATTTCCAGAATCATAACAAATAATAGTGGGGACAAGAGGGCATTTTTACTTCATTCCTGTATTGATTTTAGGAAGTTCTAGAGTCTCCCCATTGTGTAGGATGCTTGCTTTTGGTTTTAGGTAGAAGACGCTTTTTGTGCTATTAAAGACAGTCCTTCCATACTAGTACCTTGTAGGGTTTTTGGCGTAAATAAGTGTTTGATTTCATCAGACCTTTTTTGCATCTAATCAGATACTCATGTGCTTTGGGATATTGATTGTTATTAATATAATTAATAGTGTTGATTGTTTTCCTAATTTTGAGCCATCCCTGCTCCCCTAGTATAAATCCTATGTGGTAATAATGAATGATTTCTTGGATAAATTGCCATAGTATGTTAGGATTTTGTTTAGAATTATTGAGTCAGATACTGAGTGAAGTGAGCAGAACCAGGAGAACATTGTTCACAGAAACAGCCATGTTGTGCAAGGATTAACTTTGATAGAATTAGCCCTTCTCAGCCATGCAAGGATCTAAGATATCTCCAAAGGTCTCATGATGAAAAATGCTATCCTCATCTACAGAAAGAATTATGACTTTTGAATGCAGATCAAAGCATACTATTTGCTATTTTTTTTTCTTCTGTTGAGCTGTGTTTCCTCTTTCTGGTGGTTCCTCCTATTGGTTCTAATTCTTATGACATCACTAATGTGAAAATATGTTTAATAGGAATGTATATGTAGAGCCTGTGTCAGATTGCATGCCGTATTGGGGAGGAAGGGGGAGAAAAATTTAAAACTCACAAGCTTATGGAAGTGATTGTTGATAAATCAAAATAAATTAATAGAATTATTGAGTCAATCTTCACTAATGATACGGGCTTACAGTTTTCCTTCTGTGTTTTATCCTTCCCTGTTTTAAGTATTAGGACCATATTTGTTGCAAAAAAAGGATTCTGGTAGGGTGCTTTCTTCCCCAATTTTGGAGAATTTGCTAAATGTCCCTTAAAAGTTTGATAAAATCTTCCTGGTCTCATGGGGATCAGGAGTCTCCCCTCCCTCACCGCCCTCTGGCATTTCCTTTACACCTGGAACAATTTCCTTTTCTGGAGTGGACTTATTCAGGGTCTCTCTCTGGTTTTTTGAGAACTTGAGTAGTTTACATTTCTGAAGTTATCCCCCTCTTTCTTGTGTGTTCTCAGTTTTGTCAGCATAGGACTGTGCATAATGTGCTGATTCTTATTTTTATTTCTTCTGATTTTGCTGTGATTTTACCTTGTTCATTTGCTGTTTTATTGATTTGATTTTCAGTTTTCTTCTTTTTAATAAGATTAGCTAAGGATTTATCCATTTTATGAGTTTTGATCATTTCTATGTTTTTTTTGTTTTCAATTTATTTATCTCCCCTCTAATTTTTAATATCTCCTCTTTGTGATTATTTCTCAATAAATTATTTGTTGGCTTTCTAATTTAAAAAAACACACATTCAGTTCACTTATCCTCTTTTTTCTTATTTGGCAATATATGTTTGAAGGGATATGATTTTTCCTCTAAGGACTGCTTTAGCGTCATTGTAGGAATTTTGGTGTGCTGTTTCATCATTATCATTTTTCGTTACATGTTTATTAATTATTTCAATTCTTTGTTTATTTAGTGGTCATGGAAATCCTGTTGCTCCAATCATTGATCATTCTTTGTCTCTTTTCAACCTGTTTTGAGGGTCCTTTTTTTAAAACATGAAATACTTTCTAATGTCTTGTAGTTTTCAATCTTTTGACTTCCCCCCCCAATATTTCTTGTTGGAGTAATTGAATTCTGCTTGTTTCATTCTATTTTGGGGGAGCCCACTATTTGAGCTAGGCTTCCCGTCTTCTGTGAGATCTTCTGCTGGCTCTGCTTCCAGCCTGGTCTTAAGGAGCAACCTTTGTGGAAGGCTTGCCACACCTGTCCTCCAAGAGCTGATGGAGCAGCAGCAGCCCAGCTTCTGGCCTGCATTTCAGGGAAGCATCTTGTGGAGATACCCCCTGGCAGTGGCTTCTTCGGGATCCACAGTCTGAACCTGCTTTTAGCCAGCAAAGGGTCTTCTCCCCATTGTCAAATGGTTCACTGTCAGCAACAGCTGTGTTTTTATGAATGGAAATGATGTTGGGGAAAAGCCATCATCATCTGCCTTGGCACCACCCCCTAAGGACCAAGGGACCTTTCCATCTGACCGGCATGAGCCTGGCAGCCCCTTGGGCAGAGTAGGCCTTTTAAGAAATATGTATTGACCGACTGTCTGACTTTCCCAAGCACCATCTGCCCCTAGAAAAGGTGAGCCCCTTGAGGGCGTCCTACCCAGAATTCACGGCTTTTGCCTCTTGGTATCCCCAGTGCTTAACAAAGTATTTGGCCCTTAACAAGTACTTAATTTCCATCTGTTTCTAATTTCATTCTCCCCCCTTACTCCATTTGTTTCACCAGCTGGAACAGTACTTGTAGCCAAGATGTTTCTCTGTCTCTAGAACCCTGCTTGCACAGGTGTCATTAGTCTCATCTTGTGGATTTCCCTTTGGGGCTGCTCTTAACCATAGGGTTTCTTAATTGTGCTAGGGTTTCTTCTGTTGTTTACTCACATTATGGCCCTGGGCCTCTTCCCATCAGCACTCTTGGATGGGTTAGGTAGGCCTTGTTGGGTGCTGTCTCCTCTGAAGTCTGGATGCTGCTGCCAATCGGCATGGGGTATGGGGCACCTAGGTGGCATGGTGGATAGAGCACCAGCTCTGGAGTCAGGAGGACTTGAGTTCAAGTGAGGCCTCAGACACTTACTGTGTGACCCTGGGCAAGTCATTTCACCCTGATTGCCCCCCCCAAAAAAGAAGTGGCCCAAAAATCTGCATAAGGTAGCTGGCATTAGGGCCCTACCGCAGGCTTAATACCTGCTGCTGTCCCATTTCAAAGAAAGGCCTCTGCTAGCCCCTTTGTAGGACTGAGGATCTTAACCCCTGTCACAGTGGGATCAGGCTTCTAGCCTTGTGACCAGGTGCTTCAGGTAGTTCTTCCAGGAACAGCCCCTTGGTCCTTTTGTCTTGGAGAGGGATTGTTTTCTGAGCCTAGTGATCAGAGGTGGAGCTGATGGGGTGGTGGGACCTGGACCCCTGGAAGGAAAAGATCGTGTCTGTGAAAGCAACCCAGTGCCTGAATTTTACCATACATTTCAGTAGTCCAGATCACTGGTGCCTCCGCCCAAGGCATCTGACCCACTTCAGTCACCTAGTTGGCTTATTAGATATCCTGTCACTGTCCCTCTTGGCCCACCCCAGACTACTTACCACTCCTTAATCCCATCCAGATCCTTTCACCATCCTTCTTGTATATAAGCATCAGTCTCACCCTCATTAAGTGGCAGGTTCACTAGGAACCCTGCCCACTCCTATTAGAGTTACAATAAACCTTGTCATTTGACTGGAAGAAGGTCTGAGTATGTGAATTCTTTCCAGGCAGATTCCACGCTGTACCTTAACATTTTGGGGGTTCCCAGCAACCCCAAACTGCATCAGAGCCATGCATGGGGGCTGGCCCCAGCTTCCCTGACTCACCTCTCTTTCCTTCCATCCTTCTGTCTATTGTCATCTATCTGTCTGTCTGTGCGGCTCTGGGAGGAGGAGGAAGTAGACTTTCTCTGTCACTGCTCTTCCTTGGCCTACTTTCAGATGTTTTCTAGTGCCTCTGCCTTTTCCTTCACCATCCTGCCCAGAATTCTCTGCAGCTACCTGAATTCATTTGGAGGGAGAGGAGGACCAGGCTTTTCTCTCCCTCCAGGAAAATTTTGCTGAGAAACTTAGCATGGCTCATTTCATGAAAGAGAAGGGATAATGTTTGAATATCTGCATTCTACCACACAAAAGTCAGGCACTTCTGAAGAATTTAAAATGAATGTGACATAGTGGGTGATGGAGGGGTGCATGGTGGGCACAGGAAAACCATGGTCCTGAAGGAATGTGGGACATGGTTAAGATCACAGATCCATTGGCTCATTGAAGGAGGGATTAAAGGGTCCTTTCTGGAGAGGTTTTCCAAGTACAAAATAGGACAACTCTTTTCTGCACGTTTACTAAGCGCCAGTCCTGGACTAAGAAAGGTAAAAGACAGTCCGTGCCCTCAGGAAGCTCCCAATCCAGTCCAAGACTCATCAACAGGCACAGTTTTGAAAAGGAGATCAGCACCTTGGAATGGAATTTCTAAAAGCTTTTAAAAAAAGCCATTGGTGCCTAGTTTGCCTCCGTATTTGAAGGGACAAAACTCCAGACTTCCTCCAGCACAGACTTTGGACGGGAATTCCAAGGACCTTTAATGGGCCTTGCCTTGGGCAAGCAAATTCAGGCCTAGGTTATGCCCTTGATTCAGAAAGGAAGTTTTTGACCTTCCCCTGTGGCCAATTTTATTTCTGAAGGAGTATTTTGTCTTTTGTTTGCATTTAAAAAACAAATTCTCTTCTTAGGAAGTAGATTTTTTTTCAGTCAATTTTTTTCTTCCTGATTGTTGGAATTTCAATGTAATTTTTACTTTGTTTTATCAGAATTTTTTGGAGGTATGACAAGCCTATCCTGGCTTGGCTGCATCCTGCTGTGGTCCAATGGATATAGTGAATTTCTCAAAAGTCTGAATGCTACTAAATGGCGAATTCCTTGCTAAATGGTGATACATGGGGGGGAAACCATTGATACTGTTTTCATGATTTTGTGATGATGATCTTTCACTCTGCTTTTATTTAATTTTTAATTCAGTTTTCATTATGCTGTTTCTCCTGAATATCTGGCGACTCCTGAAACCTGTTTCCTGTTAATATTAACCTCGCCTGGCCCCAAAACTGATTTATGGAATGTTGGTATTAAGGGCAAACTTGACCTTCCTGCGGTAAGCAGTCAAGGAGAAGGAGGAGGGCACACAGCATCTCTAAAACCCCACAAAAGATTTTATATGTGGACAAATTCCCCTGCCTTGACAGCTCAGGACAGGTAAATCTCTGCCTCTCAATTAGCCCAGTGAGCCTTCTTTAAAAGCTCTCTGGTTAATCTGTAACCTGACTCAGTTTACCTGCAAAGTCTGCTTAACTAGGTTGGTTTCCTTGGAGGATATATGGGATTCTGACTTCATTCTAACTTAATTGAAGGAAGGAAGTGGGAGCTAATGAATCTGTCTGACCAGGCCTGTGTGACCTTTATGGATATTGTTGTAAGCTTAAAAAAACCCCCAAAACTACTTATCTGTCACTGACATGATTTTCTCTATGTAGGCTTCTTAGAAACTCCCAGTCTTGGTTCAGAATGGTTTTTTTTAAAATCCTGAACCTGTGCTTATGCATCAACAAATCTGGCTTTTTATCTCCACAGTTTATCTTTGTGGTAGATTTATTTTTGGAGGCAGCAATAAGCTAGGGATGAGGATAGGATCTAGACCCCAAAAAAGAAAAACCCTGGACTTTCCCTATAGCCAAATCTCTGGCATTCTCCTGAGGCTATAATCCCATCCACTGGCCTTTCATTGTGGCTACATCCACTCTCCCAATGCTGTTAGCTTTAACCTAGCCTAACCTTCCATTGTCTTACCTCCCTATGTGGCCTTCTCCCCACTTTCACCCTTAATCCTAGCTAGGCTCCATTCTCCCTTGACCATGGAGATGCACCTGAGGAATGGCAGCAGGAAGTGATTCAGATTTGTCCATCCTCTGAGGATGAACATAGGAGGCCCTCTCATCAGAGGGGCCATGCTGCAGAGAGACTGAAAGTCACAATTCTACCTAACCCTAACCCTCTCTGTCTGGGAGGAGGTGAAGGCCTTACTGCTTGGTATGTGCTTATCAGAGACCCTCGTTAGCATTTTCTCTGGATGTGAAATCTGTCCTCCAGAGGAACAATTCTGGGAGTCTTGGGTAGGATAAGGGAGTGTGCCTGGGCCGCTGGAAGACCACCCCCAGTCCAACAAAGAGAGCAGACTGTCAGAGAGCCTGAGGTAGCCAGCGCAGATACCCTCCTAGCAGCAAAGCCAGCAGAACTGTATACAGACAGACTTTAGCTCAGATGTTTGGCAGGTCAGAAGACTCCTACGCTAATTTTGTCCTAATACTGTGCAGCCAGAAGTCCTGAGTTTCTCCTCAGGGTGGAGCAAGGTGTGCAGAGACTGATACAGAGAGGACTGTGGACCTTGAGAAGGCAGGAGACATTCCACAGCAGGGACTGGTCCTGGGCTTGGGACATGACCCTCGTGTAGCTGATGGCATCAGAGTGATGCAAATGCAGGAACCACAGCTGCTGCCTGTCTGAGGTGACAGGGTCTCCTGAGCTTTGAGGATCAATGTAACCCAGAGCCCTTGACCTCAGCAGGCTTAGCTCCAGGCTCCTCCAACCTCACCACCAGAGCCGAGGTGCCCTCACAGCAGGTGAGAGGCGGAGCTGTCCTACCCAATCCCACTCTCTTTGGAGAAGGTGAGGGCCAAGGGGATGGAGAGCACAGAAGCCTGGCACAAGACCCCCTCCATTAGAGCACCATCTACCTTGTGTTATAGTTGTGGATTAGATGGACATACTGGCAGAGCCAATGCAGGCTTGGTCATGAGAAGTTGAAGTCTTCCGATGCAGCTGTGGGCATTTGGAGCAGGGCCAGAGGAGGGGGCCTCCTCCTCAGTTCCCTGTGGGTGTGTTCTACCTGTACTCATAGGACCTCACAAAGAGGGCATGGTAAAAACTGGGACTGTGGAGCGCCGTGCCATCCTGGACAGGGCTTCTCCAGATACCATCATCTACCAACCTTTGTGATGATGGCTATTTGGGTAAAATACCTTTAAAGCCAATGGTGGGGCCTTTGTTGATAAAGACTCTGTATCCCTGGGACACCTCCAGGTGACCTTTTCTTTGCCCAGGGAAGTTCTTGGCATCAGCAGAAAAGTGGACAGTCTGGCTCTGTATGTCCAGAGCCTCCAACCCTGGCTGGAGTGGAAGCATTGATGGGAATGAGTTCTGGCCTTTCCCACATTCCAGCAGGAGACTGCAGGGAACAAGCTGGGAGCCAGGCCTGCACAGACCAGGTAGAAGCTCATGAGAGGGCAGAGGTGAGGGACTCCTCGACGGCTGGGCTGGGTCCTGAGCGATTGGACCCTGGGGATTCCCCAGCACCAGCGGGGTGAAAGGAGAGGCAGAGGCTGAACTCAGCAAGAGGACATTTGTGTTTTCCAGGCACGAGGCGAGGTGCTTGAGCTAGCCCACAGATTCTGCACCTTTCAGGGAAAGAGCTAGGAGCTGAAGGAGGAGCTCAGGAACCGCCTCAAAGAAATGCTGGCTAATGGCAGCAGCATCACAGAGCCCAGCAGCCCTCATGCCTCACTTTCAGTGGTTGTGCCTAAGAAAAATGGAAAGATGCAGATGTGAGCTGATTGCTAGACCTTGAACAGGACAACTGATGCCACGGGGGAGAGGGGCCCTGGCTGTTGTCAGTCTGGGACTTACATAGTGGATGCCACTAGAATCCTGTGTCTGAGTGACACCAAGATAAGACTGCTTTCACCATTCAAGGGACTTCCAAGGTAGCCGATTGCCGGGAGGCTAACCCACACTAGGGCTGCTAGGGGGCACAGTGGGGCCTGGAGTCAGAAAGACCTGAGTTCAAGTCTGGCCTCAGACACTTAGCCATGTGGCCTTGTGTCACTTAATCTGTTGGTCTCATTTTTTTTTCATCTGTAAAATGGAGGTAACAGTAGCTCCTCCTGCCTGGCCAGTTGCAGTGAGGATCAGAGGAGACTGCAGCTGTGAAGGATTAGCACAGGGTCTGGCACCTAGTAAGCACTACATACAAATGTTAGTGATTACCGTGTGCACTGTTGATGAGCATGTGTTTTATTTCAGCTTAAGTGAAGGCTGGTCACTGGGGATGCCTAGACAATCATCCTTGTTGTTTCAAAGAGACCTGCTCCATGATCTTCGCAAGGGACTGCAAGGAATTTCAGCCCTGGGGAGGAATGTCACCAGGGTGTTGGCATGAGACTCTCTCCTTATTGGTGGAGATGAAGGCCCTGCCCTGCATGAGGCAGAGCAGAGTTGGGGTTCACTGGCCAAGCTTCATGCCTGGAGAGCATCAGTTACCTCAGATACATTTGGCTTCCAGCCTCAAAGGATGATGGACAAGGCCATTGTCCAGGAAGAAGCAGCCATGAAAGGAGCCAAAAGTCTCTGTCATGGCCCTGTCTCAGCTTGCTACTCCAGAGCCTTGAGGGGTTATCCCCTTGGGAGAGCCCAGGCCCCTCTCTGGGTTGAGCTGAGCCATCTCACTCCCAGTGGGAGAGTTCCTTCCCTCTGTGTGGTCTGGGGGAGATCCTGCTAGGGACCTTCTCATATCTGCTGGGCTCTGATTTGGATCAGTGGGCTTCTTTGCTATTCTCTCTGCGTGTTCACTCTGGAGCTGGTCTTAGGTGGGGAAGGGCCAAGCCTTGGATAGAGAGCTTGGGCTCCCCTCTCCTCCTCCTCCTGTTTAATCTAGCCCAACTTATAAGCATCTGTAGTCTGTCCCAGACACACATACTGATGAGCAAGCTCCTTGGACAGCAGTGATGGGGTACCACCATGCCCTCGACCTGGAGTTGGCCTCAGACTTACTAGCTGGGTGACCCTAGGCAAGTCATCTCATCTCTCTGCCTCAGTTTCCCCATCTGTATAAATGATAGTACCTATACACATGCTGATGGACAAGCTGTGGTGCGCAGCTTCTCAACCTGGGGTGTGCGAACAGAGAGATAGAGACCCACTGTATTTCAATGGAATTGGTTTCTTTTGTAATCAGTCATTGTAGTTATGCATTTCAAAACCACAATGCTGAGAAGCTCCACCAGATGGCGCGCCAAAGTGGGGTGGGGAGGGGTGTTAATGGCACCCTCTGGGCTCTAGTGAGCGTTCCCCCAGATGCAGGTGGAAACTTGGTCTTTGGATACTCTTCATCTCTTGGGTCTTTCCTATACAGAGTATCAGGCCAAATTCCTCTGAGTGACCATAGGTGTCTTCCTGGAGGTTCACCAGTGACCTGGGCCCTAAGGGAAGGAAAAAAAAGTCATTTCCCATCAAATGGGAGTCTTTTGTGTCACAAGGGTTGACCACTAGAACCACCTATCACTAAGTGCATTCAGGCAGTCATGGGAGGGAGGGAAGAAGGGAGGTAGGGGTTATTATGATCCCCACAATAGGAAGAGGCCAAGTGACTTGTCCAGGATCACACAGTTGTCTTAGGCTGAATTTGTACTTGGGTCTTTCTGACTCTGGGCCCAGTATGCTCTATCCACTGGACCACCCAGCTGCCTCTAAGGAAGGAAGGCTGTATGAGACACTGTAGAGTAGCGTTTGCTTTGGAGGTAGAAAAGACCAGACGTGTGAAATGGAGGTCTGGGCCCTTCACAGAACAATTCTGCATCTCTCCAAATAGAGAACCTAATTCTGTTTCTATCACCGGCATTTTGTGCTCTCTGTTTCTGATACCTTAGCCACTTGAGAAGCCCTCCTTTGAATCCATCCCTCCATCCACCCACCCACCCATCTATCTGTCCATCCACCCATTCATCCATCTATCCATCCATCCATCAGTACATCCATTCATCTATCCACCTACTCGTCCATCTGTCCATCCATCCATCCACCCATTCATCCATCTGTCCGTCCTTCAGTACATCCACTCATCCATCCTCCCATCCATCCATCCATCCATCCATCCATCCATCCATCCATCCATCCATCCATCCAGATTGGGCACAACAACCTCATTAATCAAGTTGGGAAAGGGTAGTAAGCTTTGGGTCTTTGTGTGAAATGCTGTGATGTTTCCCAGGAAGGATGTCCCCAGGCATGCTCTGTGACTCTTCTATAAAAGAACAGGCTCCTTTAAACCCAGGGACTTGAAGGTCCTGCTAGTAGTTTTAGCCAAGGTCTAACTTAGGGATTGGAGAGAAGGGAGAAGAGCTTTATCTGGCCTCCAGATCAGGGCAGCTAGGTGGTGCAGTGGAAAGAGCACTAGGCTTACCTTCCTGAGTTTGCATCTGGTCTCAGACATTTCCTAGCTGTGTGACCCTGGACAAGTCACTTAACCTAGTTTGCCTCAGTTTCCTCATCTGTAAAATGAGTGGGAGAAGGAAAAAGCAAACCATTCCAGTATCTTTCCCAAGGAAACCCCAAATGGGGTCATGGAGAGTTGGATAAGTCTCCACAACAACCAGAAGAGGACCTTGTGAACTTTGGGGGATTCTGAGGATTCCCACTTTTCAGCCTTCAGGCAATGTCTCTTGAGCAATAATGATAGACAGAGAACAGTGTCTGCCCCCAGGGAGCTGAGGACAAACCAGACAATGTGCTCAGCTGCTTTCCTTTGGACTGTGTAGATACTTATGGAGGTGGCGTGTGTGTGTGTGTGTGTGTGTGTGTGTGTGTGTGTGTGTGTGTGTGTAGGGGGCGTAGTTCCCCTAGAGCACTGAGGGGGGAAATAGCCAGCTGCCCTCTAGAGTTCCGGCTGAGGGTGAGCCCTCCTTCCCACCCCACCCTCCATCCCCTCCAGTCTTCCCTTCTTCCAGCTAACTGGGGTGACCTTGGGGTGCTTGGGATACTCCACAGCTCACTCATGTTCTTTTCCTAGTGTGCCAAGGAGAGGATTACAAAGGAAACAGAGCACTTTGTCTAGATAAGGGGAAGGTGTAGCTCATTCTTTCCTTTCCTCCCCCATTCCCTTATCTTCTTTCTATCCTGACCGTTTCCCTTTTATCTTTTGTTTCCCCCTCTCCCCTTGAGAAGTGCAAGAGAGGAGTCCTATAAACTACAGGCTTTCAGATTTCTGGGAAAATCTTAGAGCCAATTTTTAAAGGGCTATTTGGTGGACATCTACCAAGCCAGGGAAACAATACCTCTCTTCAAGTCTGTGGAGGAGGAGCAGAAGAGCCAAAAGCTCCAACTTAGGAAGGGAAGCCTGGTGGCTGGGGCCATCTCAGACTATCCAAGGCCTTTGTGAGACTGTGGAGACGTGAGGAAGGAGAGCACTAAGAAATGGGTGGAGGGTCCTGGATAAGGAATTAGGGTGTGTGTGTGAAGTCAGGTCTGGTGTCACAGGCCAACCTCTCTAGACCTAAACTCTGCTGACCTCCAATCTCTAATCTCCATTGGCCTTTCAAACTGGATGTCCAGTAGACATCTTAAACTCAACATGTCCCAACCAGAACTTATTATCCTTCCCACTAAACCCTCTCTGGCCTCCTCTCGTCTCTATAGCTATACAGGGCAACCCCATCTTCCCAGTCCTTCAGGCTTACATCCTGCATTCCTACTTCTCTCTCAACCCCCAGATCCAATATGGTACCAAGGCCTGTCGATTTCACCTCTGCAGCATCTCTCAAACATGTCCCCTCCTCTCATCTAGGTGCAGACCCTCATTATGTCATACCTGGACCATTGCAATAGCCACTGGGGTGGATCTGCCTACCTCAAGTCTCTCCCCACTCTAGTCCAGCTTCTATTCATCCACCAAAGTGATTTTCCTAAAGTCTATATCCAACCATGTCACAACCTCACCCCCCCCCCAACTCCAGTGGCTCCCTATTGCCTCTAGGATCAAATACAAATGCTGGGCTTGGTTTTCAAAGCCCTTTGTAATATACCCAACCTTCCCCAACAGATACTCTTCAATGGTTGTGTGCTTTGGTCTTCCCTCATGCCTAGAATGCTCTCCCTCCTCCACTTCATCTACAGACCTCCACTGCTTCCTTAAAGTCCCTACTAAAATCTAACCTACAGGAAGCCTTCCCCTACCTTTGCTAAATTCTAGTGCCTGCCTACCAGTCTTGTTTGGGAGTGGTCTCTCCCATTACTTTGTAAGCTCCTTGAGGGCAGGGAGGGTCTTTTGCCTTTTTTTTTTTTGTAGCCCCAGCACAAGCACCTAGTGCCTGTAGGTGCTTAATCAATTCTAACTGATTAGATCCTCAAGCCGAGGCTGTTCTCTTTTCCTTTGGAGACAGGGCCCATCCTGATAGACCAGGGGGAGAGTTGTAGATGAAATATATTCTGCAAAAACCCTTGACAAAGTTTCCTTTGCTCTTCTTCCGGGAAAGACCAAGACAGCCAGGAAAAGATACTGGGATCTGTTAGTGGAACTTTGGGATTGGTCGGCTCCAGGGACAATCATTAACTAAGAGTGATTACTCCGTAAGGAGCCAAACTCCGAGCTGTGCTCCAGGAACTAAAGAGGGTCTGCCCCTGCCCTCAGGGAGCCTACGTTCCAATAGTGGGAAGCTAGGGCGACGTTTGGATGACTCTTCCCCAAAGGTGGGAGGGGGAGACAAATCCTAACCCTAGATGCGCAGGCGGGTCTGTCTGTCCCTGGGGTTGCCACCCTGGGCATCAGACTTAGGTGAAAGCGAAGGGGGTCCCCAAACATCTGGACCCGCTGGAGCACACTGCTCTCTAAACTGCAGGGGCTTCGGGGTTCGCTCATTCCACTGCCTCAGCCAATCAACACTTAGGAAGCTCTTGCTGTGTTCCTGGCCCCGTGCCCGGCGCTGGGGACACAAAGAGAGGCAAAAATGGGAGATGATTAACCGAGGAAGGGAGGGGGCCCCATCCTATGTGACCACCCCTGCACACGCCGGCAGAGGACCCCGACACCCCAAGCCGTCCCCTCTGCCCTCGTCCGCGGTCGGGGCGTCTCAGTCTGGGTGTCCTCAGGGCTTTGTGGTTTTGCCGGCTGCAAGCCTTTGCATTCACTCATTCAGTGCTGTCCCCCGTCATTCTGTTGTTCTTTCCCTAGCTTTCCCCCTCCCACCTTCCCATTCACTCGCAGGACCCCGGCGTCCCTAGGCCCGGGCTGCCACTGCCCAGGAAAGGTCGCCCCGACCCCTTCCTTCCTCGGTCCTCCAAGCGGAGAAAGAGGCCCCCTCTCGATGGTGCTTTCTGCTACAGGGCCCTCCTAGCCCCAGAGACCGTCCTCATCTCTATGGTGAGGCGGGGCTCCCCGGGGGAGTTCTGAGGCCTCCATGCTTCTGGTCATCCAAGAGGGAGGGAAAGTCCTCGTCTTTCTACCCTGCTCGTGACGCCACTTCCCACTGACCGCCTACTCAGACCCGCCCCTCGAAATTGAGGCCGGAAGTGGGTGCCGGACACGACGAGAGCTAAGCTACAGAGAGGAGGTAGCAGGACCGGGGCGGCGGCGGCCCGACCAGAGGGGGCGCTGCGGGGCCGGGGGAACCCAAAGGGTGAGACACAGGGGCAACTGTGAGGAGGGGCCGGACCGGAGGGGGCGCTGTGGGGCCGGGGGAACCTAAAGGGCGGGACACGGAGGCAGTTGCGAGGAGGGATCGGACCAGAGGGGGCGCTGTGGGGCTGGGGGGAACCTAAAGGGTGGGACACGGGGGCAACTGAGAGGAGGGATCGGACCAGAGGGGGCGCTGTGGGGCCGGGGAGACCTGGGACACAGGGGCAGCTATGAGGAGGGGCCAGACCGAAGCGGGTGCTGTGGGGTTGGGGGACCTGAAGGGTGGGACACAGGACACCTGCGAGGAGGGGCCCGACCCCAGGGAGTGGTGCTTTGGCAGGGAAAGAGACCAAGGCATGTGTGAAGTGGAGGGCACTGGCCAAGGGGAAGTTATGTGGGGTGTCTGTGACACAGGGTGCCCTGTAGGGGCAGCTGAGGGTGTGGCAGTGACATGGGGGGCTCACCATGGGGCAGGTGAGGGTGTGGGGGGACAGAGGGGGTCACCATGGGGCAGGTGAGGGTGTGGGGGTGACATGGGGGTTACCATGGGGCAGGTGAAGGTGTGGGGGTGACAGAGGGGGTCACCATGGGGGTGACATTGGGGTCACCATGGGGCAGGTGAGGGTGTGGGGGTGACATGGGGGTTACCGTGGGACAGGTGAGGGTGGGGGTGTGACATGGGGGATCACCATGGGGCAGGTGAGGGTGCGGGAGTGACAAAGGGGGCTTTGTAGGACCTATGGATATGTGTATTAGTGGGGTGATTGTGGAATCTCCCCAGAGAGTTGCCGTAAGAGTCATGGTGCATCCAGGTCTGGCCAGGGGCTGATTGCTGGGGGCTGTTCTGTGCCCTTTAGAAAAAGAGCCTGGGGTCTGTCCAGGCTTGGGGTGGAGGGGAATCCTGGAGGGCCCCTCTGGCACAGCCTCAGAAGGTCTGTTCCAGAGGAGGGACCTCAGGCACCGCTGACGTGGTCTGCGCACATCTGGCCCCCCTCACTCTCTGTCCCTCTGTGGCGCAGGGGGATGGCCATGGCAGCCTCGGCGGCAGCCACGGCCACGGCCACGGCCTCGGCCTCTGCAGCGGCTGCCGAGGCGGTACACTACATACACCTGCAGAACTTCTCACGCTCACTGCTGGAGACCCTCAACGGGCAGCGACTGGGAGGCCACTTCTGTGATGTGACAGTGCGCATCCGGGAGGCATCCTTGCGTGCACACCGCTGCGTGCTGGCTGCCGGCTCGCCTTTCTTCCAGGACAAGCTGCTGCTAGGCCACTCGGAGATCCTGGTGCCTCCCGTGGTGCCCGCACAGACTGTGCGCCAGCTCGTCGAGTTCCTGTACAGCGGCTCTCTCGTGGTGGCCCAGAGCGAGGCGCTGCAGGTGCTGACGGCCGCCTCCATCCTGCAGATCAAGACGGTCATCGACGAGTGCACCCAGATCATCTCCCAGGCTCGTGGAGCCGGTGCGCGGGGACCAGAGGACGGGGCCTCCGGGCCTGCCGCCGCTGCCTCTACCGCTGCCTCGGCTGAGCTCTGCGCGCCCGGGCCCGGGCTCGGGCCCGGGCCAGGGGCCGAGGTCCGTTACAAGCTTCGAGACCTGCTCTCTGCCCAGCAGCAGCAGCAGCAGCAGCAGCAGCAGCATCCGCCGCCACCACCACCACCGCCGCCGCCGCCGCGGACTGTGGCAGTGGCATCAGCAGCGGACGCGGGTCCCCACGGCTGTCACAGCCGCAAGCAGAGGCAGCCCGTACGCCTGCAGCTGCTGGAGCAGCTGCCCGTGGTGGTCAAGGACGAGGAGGGAGAGGCCTCACCCACCCGGGTGGCCACCGCAGGGCCAGGGGGGCCGGAGGGGGCTAGAGAAGGGTCGGGCCAGGGGGATGGGGTGGAGGACGAAGAGGATGAAGAAGATGACGATGAGGAGGATGGGGCTGAGGAAGAGGAGGGCGGCGGTGGGGGTTGCTTTAGTCAGTGTGGGGGAGGCTTCTTTACCGAGGGGCTTAAAGAGCCTCGGAAGGAACCCGCCACCGCAGTGCCAGATTTGGCCCCCTCAGAACCTCCCGGAGGGAGAGACTATTTTGGCGGATCCTCAGAAGAGGTGTTTCCTGAGAGCTTTATCCCTGTGTGGCCCAGCGAGGAGGTGGCTGAGGGGGGCCCCCGGGATGCAGCTCCCCCGGCTCTAGACGCCCCTCCCCCAGCCCCTGCTCGGCCCGACTGCAGCTTGGGGCCGCCTCAAAGTTCCGGCTTTGGACCTCGGCCCCCTGAGCCCCGCGCCCTGGGCTTTCCCGGCCCCACCACCGCTGGGGTGAAGGGCGCGGGGGCCACTGGCTTGTTCCCCTTCCATCTGCCTGCTCCTCCCCCGGGGCCTCCCCAGCCTCCGCCCTTCTTCAGCCCCCTCCAGCCAGAAGGCTCTGCAGGCGGAGGCGGAGGGGTCTCTACAGCCTCGGCCTCGGCAGCTGCTGGCCTGGGGGGGTTAGGCCCCATCCAGATCCAGCACAGTGAAGGTCCTGGTCCGCCTGCGCCCCCCGGGCCGGGGCCCAGGCCCCCAGAGCTGCCGTCCTATGAATGCAGCCACTGCCAGAAAACATTCAGCTCCCGCAAGAACTACACGAAGCACATGTTTATTCATTCGGGTAAGAAGAAGAAATCTGAGCCTGGGCTGGGGGGCGGGACTGCGCAGGGGAGGAGCTAAGTGAAGCAGCGGGTTTAGGAGTTACCTGTCCTAAGGCAAAGAGGGGAAGGCACTGGGGGAGTTTAAGCCTCAAGAGGGAAGACAAAAAAGCCAGGACCTGTTGAGGAGGCAGCTTCCCGGGACCCAGCTTCTGCTGGCTCTCCTGCATACCCAGAAGACAAGGGCTTCTGGCAAGAGGTCGAGCTGGTAACGTGGAAGTGCTCCCAGCCGCGGGTCTTAAGCCGGGGTGTTCCTTAACGGCTATACTAGATAGTCTTTGAAGTGACTTGGAATCCTGAGCTTCTGTGAGTTTGGGAGCGAGGGCTTAGAGCAGAGAGGGAGATGACCGGGAAAAGCCGATGACCCAGGAAATGCCCACCCGGCAACTGACATGTTTGAGATAGAAATCAGGGCTGTAAATACTGCCCTGGAAGTGACTGGCCAAGCGGTGCTAGTGGGAGCTGTAGGGGTGAGACAGCGTAGAGAGGAGCCCAGCCCCAACGCCTGCTGACCGCTCCCTTCGGGATGTGCCTGGAGAGGGGGCCAGAAGCCTGGACAGTGGAGCTTGTTGAGGAGGAGATGGGAGGTGGGGTAGCGGTGGTCCCCCCCGGCACCTCTGACCCCCGTTTCTCCTGTCTTCTCAGGGGAGAAGCCCCACCAATGCTCAGTGTGCTGGCGCTCCTTCTCACTCCGAGATTACCTCCTCAAGCACATGGTCACCCACACGGGGGTCCGGGCCTTCCAGTGTTCTGTCTGCTGCAAGCGCTTCACTCAGAAGAGTTCACTCAATGTGCACATGCGCACGCACCGGCCGGAGCGCGTCCCCTGCCCGCTCTGTGCCAAGGTTTTCTCCCACCGTACACTACTGGAAAGACACCTCAGTTCCCACCCTGCTCCCTGACCCCCCTGCTCAACCCCCAGCTCTCCCGCAGCCACCCTAACCTATGCCCAAGCCAGAGACTCCTAAGAGATTCTTGTGGCCCCCGAAATGCCCAAGGCCACTCTCCTTACTGGAACCTTAAACTCTGCTAGTGGAGGGGGGTCCCGTGGCTGGCTAGCATCGACCTGGTGACCTCTAATATTCTGGAGTTTGAATGAGATTCAAGCCTTCCCTCCCTCCCCAGTCAGGGCCCCCCTTCCCTCCATGGGCTGCTCCCCACTCTTCTTACTGCTGAGCCTTGGACTGCCTGCCAGAGGAAGTGTAGGTGTCCATGATCCTCTGACCCGTGGGAGGGTAGTCCCAGGCTGGCCTTGTATGGGCTGCCGTATGTGGCTCTTTTTTGGAGTTGGGAGCCTCTTCTGTGACTTCCCCTGGGTATTTTTTTGTTGTTGTTAAAAGGCAAAAAAGGCGGTGCATTCATAAAGTCATATTGAAATGTCCTGGCTGGATCGCAATGCATCTCTAGCCCCTTCCTCATCTCCCAATGAAGGGTGGTGACTACTGGGTGTTGCTATTGATGGCTGGGAATACTGCACTCTCCACTCCAAGACTTGGGGCCTGCAGGAGAGCAGAGGTGGAGAGAGTAGGGCAGGGCTGCAGAGCCTGTGGCCTCGAGGCCACATGTGGCCCTATGGGTCCTCAAGTGCAGCCCTTTGACTGAATCCCAACTTCACAGATCAAATCCCCTTCATAAAAGGCTTTGTTCGAACTCAGTCAAAAGACCACACCTGAGGATCCAGAAGGCCCCTTGTGGCCTTGAGGCCGAAGGTTCCCCAGCCCTGGTAGAGGATCGATGTGGGGAGAAGAGAAGAGAGGCAAGGGGGGAGGGGCCACATTACGGTGGGCTTTGAATGCCAGGTGTGGTAAGTGATGGGCAGCCATGGGAGATTTCTTTTTTTTTTGTTTTTTTCCAATCCATGGGCTAGAAGTACAGAGAACACCCTCATCACACTTGCAGGCGGGATCCAAAATGATCTTGAGAGGTGAGAGCAAAATTCAGGAGGGGTAAATGTTATGATATTCCAAGGCTTCAGAGGAAGAGGACCAGAATTCCCGAATCTGAGGGTTGGCAGGGGGCCCACCCAGGATGAAAGGCACCCCCTCGGAAGTCCTGCTTTGGGGAAGGAGCTGGGTCAACCATCCCTCCTTCACGTCACTGGTCTCCTCCCATTCTCTTTTATTGGTTGTCTTCCACTAGAGTGTGAGCTCCATGTGGGCAGAAACGTCTCTCTGCTTGTACACAGTACCATGCCTGGAGCCTCAGAGACAATTTAATAAATGGTTGTTGACTGACTGACTGACTGACTGACAAATGGTGGAAGTTGGCCATCCCACTCTGGGACAGCTCAGAAGGTGGAGGAGCTTGGGGCAGTTAGTGGACTGCCGACTCCACGGGAGTGTGTAACACCAAAGCCTGGCTCCTTCAAGAGCAGCAGAGAGGGAGGTGATATGTTCTCAGCACCGTGCTCATTGCGCTTCACCTGGGGTTCAGGCTTCAGTTCTAGGCACCATTTTAGGAAGGATATCAAGAAGCCAGAGTGTGGGGAGGGCAAGCAAGATTACCTCTGGAAAAGAGCAGACTTAGCCTAGGGCCCTCGAGGCAGAATTCAAAGGGACAGGGCTCAGAGAGGGCCCAGGGCATCAGGTTCCAGATCACACCCTCAGCTCTGAGCACTGAACATGCACCCCCATTGGAGGAAGTCCAGATGCCTCTGTAGTCCTCCTCTTCTTCCTCCTCCCCAGCCCTACCCTTTCTGCATTCTGCCAGAGAGGAGAGGGACAGGATAGAGTAGGAGTCAAGGGGAAAAGCTGCAAAGAGGTAGCCCGTAAAACTGCATTCATGAAAGCTTTCTCTTCTTGTCAGGGAGTCTCTGCTTTTTAGAGGGAGAGAGGGGCTGGAAAGAGGAGGGTTAGCTATGCCTTCCCCCAATTCTGTCATCTCCAGGGCAGGGAGTGACCGTCATGGGTAGCTCAAGAAGGCAGAGGATGGAAGAGAATAAGGGTGGGGTTTGCCCTGAGCCCTTGGGCACCAGGGGTGGCTGACTTTAATCCAAATTCAGTCTTGACTTGGGTGGACAACCCAGGAATAAGGCTTGAGCGAGTACAGATGGATGGGTGAGTTGCCAAGCAATGGCCTCTCACTGTTTGAATAAGGGCAGAGGGGAAGAAAAGGAGTCAGGTGAGCCTGGTGGTTGGAACCCACCAAGGCACCAGCAAGCGGAGGATGAGGGGAGAGTGGCAGTGATGTAGGGGAATGTGTGCTGGAGTCCAGGCTGGAAGGCCCGTCCCTGTGTTTCAATGTTCTCTGTGAAATGGGACCAACAGCAGCCCCCGACGACAGTCCTGCTGTGGTGATCCCCTCATTAAGGGGAGGGGAGGAGGCATTAAGCACCTACTGTGTGCCGGGCGCTAGACTAAGTGCTTTACAAATATTCTCACATTCAACCCTCACAGCAACCCTTGTGGCGTTATGATCTCCATTTTACAGATGAGAAAACTGAGAGGTTGGTGAGACTACCAGCTAGGAAGTGGGCAGGGCCTGGAACCAGGAATACTCCAGTTCAAATCTAGCCTCAGACTCTTCCTAATTGTGTGACCCTAGGCAAGTCACTTCCCCTCTATCTCCCTCAGTTTGCTCACATAAAATGGGGCTCATAACACCACCTCCCTTCTGGGGTTGTTGTGAGGCTCGAATGAAGTAATAACTGTAAAGCCTTTAGTCCAGTGCCTGGCACACAGTAGGCGCTTAATAAAGGCACATTCCTTTGCCCCTCTGACCCAAGACCTAGCATGGGCATTCCCCTCCCCCCCATCCCTTTTCCATGGCAACAAGCAGGCAGCTGGTGACGTAAACGTGAGGGGTGAGGCCTGGGCAGAGCGAGCCTGGGGGGCGGGCTTCGGGGAAAGGCAGACGTCACTTCCAGTACCTGGAGTACGCCGGCTCGGGAGGTGAGAGGGCCCCCCCACCCGAAGAGAAGCTGTGAGCTCTGACCTCTGGCCTCCTCCTCACTTTCCTCCGTGTCTGGGTGATCTTTCCATCTCCTGTGTATACAGTAGGATGTCCATATGTGCTGCCTTCATCCCAGTTCTTCCACCGAAGCCCAGGGATTTCTGGATCAAACCTTTCTCCGTACCCCATCACCTCCAGCCACGGCTCGTGCTCACCTGTTTTCCCTTTTCTCCTCCAGCTCTAGCTTCTCTGGCCTCCCTGCCACTCTTCTTCCTCCTCCTCCGTCCTGCTTACTCTCATTCCTCCTCCCTCCTCCCCTCTCATCCCTCCTTTTCCTTTTCATCCCTCCCCCCCTCCTTGTACCTCCTCCTTTCCCCCCCTTCCATCCTCCCCTCTCATCCTTCTTCCCTCCTCCTTTCTCATCCCTCCTCCCCTTCCTCTTGTCCGTCTTCCCCATTCCTCCCTCCTCCTCCTCTGTCACTCTTCTGCCCTCCTCCCTCATTCCTTCTCCCTCCAATCTTTCCTCCCCCTTCTCCCGCTGGGCCCCTCTGCAGCTGCAATGGCTCCTTGGCCTCTGACCCCTAGAGCCCTTCAGGTAAGTGGGATTTTCCTGGTACCTGAGTGACCCCTGACCTCCCCCTGTAGGCATTTTCCCTCCTTGGTCAGCTCTGGACCACAGGGGATGGACTCGGAGAGTCCAGGGAGCTAAGGTTCCCTCTCCCCACCGGTAATGGGGGCAGCACTGCCTTATTGGCTCAGGAGGGAGTTAGGGTGGAGGCCCAGATGAGGGGACCAAGGCCCTGGGTCCCTGGCTCCCCAACAGCAGGACCCCATGAAACTGCCTTGGTGTCTCTGGTCATCGTCTTATGTTTTAGACCAAACAGGGGCACTTAATTCTTCTCAAATAAGACTGAATGGGTCATCTGGAAGGACCCTCTCCCTCCTCTGGACCTCGGGCCAACAGGTCAGTCCAGACAAAAGCATTTGATGTTTCAGGGATTGGTGACCTTCAGGGATGTGGCTGTGACTTTCAGCCATGAGGAGTGGGGGCATCTAGACCCCTCCCAGAAGGCTCTCTACTGTGAGGTGATGCTGGAGAATTACAGGAACATGGTCTGCCTGGGTGAGGACCCCAGGCTGCCCTGGGACCCAAACATTGCCCCTTGGAAGGAGGGCAGGGGCCTTGGTTGAGGACACAGTCACCAGGGCCCTGCTGGGACTGCCTTGTTTCCAAGGGGAAGGGTTTTTCTGGCCCCCTTCCCGAATGTGGGTCCCCCCTCCCTCCTGTTCCCTTGGGTACCAGATTGTCCCTGAAAGTCCCTGGGCAGCTCCCTGGAGGTAGGACAGGAGCCAGTGGGGCTCTCCTGGGCCCCCCGAGCCTGCCACCTTGTCCCAGCGAGAGGGGCTAGGCTGGACCCGAGGTGAGTTGCCATCCCCAGGACTCTCCCATTTCCCATCACTAGGACTTGCTGCTTCCCAGCCCAGTGTGACGGACCAGTTGGAGGGAGGCGAAGCCCCTTGAACTCCCAAAGGAGAAGGTGCGTGGAGCAGCTCTGCAGGTGAGTGTGAGAGCTGGGTGGGCAGACGAGGGAGGCTGGTCTTCCCCATGGTGGACGAGGAGCTGTCCTGGCATTCTCTTCTCCCCACTCCTGTAGCTCAGCTAGGCTGGCGGCACCCTCGCCTATGAATGAAGGAATGAACGCAGAGTGAGTGAGTGTGCAGGTGTGCAGTTAAACCAAAGCTCACTCCAGGTGCACACAGGCTAAGGGCAGGGCAGCTGTCTGTCCTCAGGTGGGGGTCTTTTCTGCTGGCCCCCTATGCTCCATTCTTCCTTTTTCTTCTCTTACTGCCAGGCATCTGCCCGCTTTCCGTGGACCCGCTGGCCTGCAGTGGTCTTCCCCGGTGGACTCCTCTGCTTTCCTCCCACCTTCCCAGACTCATAGCTTCGGGCAGTTCTGAAAGCTTGGTGCCTTGGTCGTGGGCAGCCTTTGGCAAGTGGGTGGGCTTGGGCCGGCTCCAAGGGGAGGGTCAGTCTTGCTGTGGGGGCCCCCTCCCCCCCTGCGCATCCCCATAGAGCCGACATTCAGTGCCCATCCGGTCATTCCTTAGGCTGGAATTCCTCATAACTTGTGTCCGTTTTTGGACATTTGTCTTCTGGAGATGGACTCAAGGCACCTTCAATGCAGATGGCTCAGTTCTTGGCAGAAATATTGGCAGCATATTTTTCTTTCCTTTCCTTTTTATTTCTCCAAATGAGTTCCCATCTAGTCTGGGTGACCCTGGGCAAGTCACTTCCCCTCTTGTCTGTCTCTCCCCAGGTGGCAGTGAGGATCAGGAGACATATTTGCACAGCACTTTGCAAATATGAAAGTGCTCTGATGGCTGAATCTTTGGAGTGGTGGGGAGGTTCTACATCAGCGTGCCAGGAGGCCTCCAGGACAGGGCCCCTAGGATCTGAGTTTGGGCCCTAGGCTGTTGAGCAATTCCATG